AAACGGTTCAACCAGAAAAAAATCTATAAGTTCAATAAAATTATTAAAACGAACCTAACTTTACCAGACAAATTATTATATTAAAAATGGATTGTTTTTAAAATACAACGATGTAAATGTAGTTTCATCTTTTCTCAAGAGAATAAAAAAATAATAATTAAAATTGGATTTGAAATAAAGATGTAATCATATAAATACGGAAAGTTGTTATTCCCAAAAATACCTATAAAACCGAATATTTTGACTCCCTTCTCTGCACGATTGCATTTTCATCGACGCATCGCTCGGCGTGACTCGTTCTCAATCGACAGTGCAAAGCACTGCCCGAAGCTTGTCTGGCGTATTTCAATTTTTATCAGTGTTGGACTCGCCCATCATTATTAATGCATTAATGTTTCTTTAAATTCGTTTAGGTAAAAATAATAATTATTAGGTACATTCCTAAATACCTACACAGTTTGTTAAAAGGAAATGTTAAGTAGTTAAGAGCTGTTGCACTGTTTACTATTACAATGATATAAGGAAGCAGAAGAGTTACACCACATTTTAAACCGACGTTAATAAATTAAAAACAAACTAGTTTTGTTTTATTTTTGAATCTTTTTTTTTGTTTTTTGTTTTCGATTGCTTCTAAAATATAAGCTGGTTCCCTTAATGGCATCCCTCTTACGTGTCTTGGATCTACGAGTTCTGGTAATATACAATTCATAAAAAAACTTTTTTAATTTTTGTTCCATTTTGTTTTGCCAGAAATCATTTCTCTTTAGTATGTACTCTACTTTGAACGGATATTTATGGTCTGTCCAAACACCAAAGATACATCCTTTCCGGCCAGAGTAATATGTAATTGGCCTTGTATTTGGTAATACCATTGGTGTTCTGTATTTACTACATGTTCCCCAGTTTTTTTTTTTTATCAGTAATCCAAAACGGAATTTTCTATTTTTCTATTGCGTCGTCCACTTCCGTTTTATACGCTGAATATGGACATTTTACCTCAACCACAAGATCATCGCCAACGATTCCATCTGGTGTTGCACCTAAAAAATAATAATTTTTTATATTTTTTTTTTCTAATGTTTTTAGTGTATACAAATATTTTATGATATTTTTTTTATTTTTAATATAAAATAAATGGTACCAGAGTCGGCATATTTTTAAATAAAAACAATATTATATATTATTTACCAACCTAAATATGGATATTCTCGATCGATAAAAATTCCACATTCTTCAATTAAAATGTTTTCTTGTTCTTGTAGTTGGAGTAATGCCACTTTCTCATATTTTTTTCCATGAGAAATGGAAGCTGCTTTTGGAGATGACTCATAAACTATTCTTTTTACTAATGGTCCACTCAAAGTTGTGCTTCTTCTAGTACATACTGCCTTAAAATGTGACGCTGTAATCATTTTCCTTCGGACTTCAAGCCATAAGCTACTATTTGCCTGGGAAAGAGTTTTTTTTTAAATTGAACTTTTTTTAGAATCAGATGATGATAATCCTTTTAAAAAATCTTTTTTCTTTGCCTCAAAAATATTTTCATCCAAATCTGATTTGCTGCAGTTTTCGCCATAGTTGAAATCGTTATTGGTCGCCCGAACCCTTTTTTTTCTTATACTGGATTTAGCTTTTATAGCCCGTAAGCGTCGTTGTCTTTCCAATTTATTTGCTACTAGCGATGAGTTACTTCCCAAAGTTTTCTTTGATTCAGAATTACCACATTTTGAATTGAATGAAACAACTGCAGCAAAACACCTACTTTGGTACGATCGTCCCTTTTGAATAAATTAACTCTTTTACTCCCTACAAATTTGGCGACAATAGAGTGAAATTGTTCAACAATATTGTTGTCAACATCATATAACAGACTTCTACTTTGGTCTGACAAAGAATGTAATATTTGCTGAAGTCTTATAAAAAATTCGGGACTAGATTTCAAATTAGGCATAACCTTGAGAGTGTATCTGAATTTTTCTTACAAAAATATTCATCGCAATTCGAATGTTGCCCAAATATATGCAGAACAGAATTATCTATATCCTTTTTTGGCAATAAAATATTTTGAGAACTGCCTATATTTATGGTATTGGTTTTTCTATATGCTATTGCCTTTGTAATCGATGTTCTAAATCGAAGAATATTTTGGGACAATAACTTTCTCAATTTTATTGGGAAGCGGGTATCCAGGGAAAGTGTTTTTAATTTATTTGAAAAATTTTTGAGTAAATGATTTCTACACTCGATTTTTTCAACAGTTAAATTCTCTCAATTTTTTTTATAAGTGCTTCTATCACCTTTAGAAATTAGCTTTGCATATTTAATACTGTGCAATTTTTCGCTATGTTTAAAACCCACTAACAAAATGGTGAATTCTATTCCTGTAGAAGTTCCAGTATAGTTTTTATAGCATTTATGTTCAATTTGTTTATTGGCTAAACAAATCGAACAAAACTTATTTTTTACACCTAGATATAAAACTTTTCCAAATCGGTGGCCTATTATTGTAGCTGCACCGGAGAGGGCAATGTAGTTTGATCTATAAGACCTTTTAGACCACCAGCATCCATCTGCCACAACGGTTATTAATGGAATTCCATTTTTATCGACCTGACCGATTTCCTTTGCATAATCTGCCTCTTCTTTTGCTGCTATCGCCATTTGTTTGCTTGCTGTTTGTTCCCACGCATCGCTAATTTGATTGTGACATTTATTGTACTTAGTTTGCGACATAAATGGTAAATTGAGTACACTAAATAGTTCTTCAGTATTCCAGAAACCTAAACCTGCACTCATTGCCCCATGAGCAGCATCAACATCTATATCTGTTTCAGTAGTTCGGATTTTAAAATTACTATTGCACATTTGACAATGAAATTGTAAACTAGAGTTGAGTCCATTTTTTATTTGTCCATACACAACCAAGTTGTTTAAAGAACAACCTAATTGCGGCGCATGGATATTTAGTTCTTTTAATTGTTCTAAGAAAAACTGGGTGTCAATAATATTTCGGGTTTCTAGTTTTAACTCTGAATAGCTTTCAGTTTTTGCAAAACTTCTCTTTCTTGAAAGTTTAAGCTCCTAAAATACACATGCTCATATGAAGACTCAATAACTGTCAATTTAAAGAGTGTTGCAATTCACAACAGCTTAAAGTAGAGCTCTGCCGGTAGGTAAGCTGCTTTAAAACTAATAAAAAAATAAATCTTAAACCGAAATTCTAATAACTCTAAAATCGCTAAAATTCTTTCTCTTAACATAAGAATCCTTTCTTCTTCCCATGCTTTTAATATCTCCACAATATTTAAAATACAAATTTTTAATAACACTAACACAATACACCGCGTATCGAATCTTTCAAATTATACTGAGTCCATCCCAAAACAATATTTGTCTATCCGTGTCCTATACGGTAGTTACGGATGCAATTGAAGAATGTCTCTGACAAGGGTTTCTATCTTTTGAGGTGGGGGTATTGGAGGAGATACCTACTGCAAATTTTTCTGAAACGAAATTCAAGCGTCCAGAGCAATAACTCTTAAGGGTTTTTTTTATTACATTGTTACGCACCAGATTAAAGAAATAACCTGTTGTTTATAATTACTTATGCTAAGTACTTAGGTATTTAAATTAAAAATACAATTTTTTCAACACTTAAGAAATGTATTATTATTGCTATTATTAATATTATATAATTTATTTTAAATTAATTCGGATAAAACCTGTAAAGGAAACGAAAAACAAAAGCATTTTATTAATTTCAAAACAGTTATAAATACACAATTTTTTTTTGGGAATTCGTCCTTTATTAACAGTAAAATAATTCAGTAATAAAACATAAACACAACTCATTCACAATACCTACTACCCGTAAACGCACTAACGCACAATAACAAACATTAGATAGAAAATAGTCCAAACATTCAATCACGAGTGTATAAAATTTCATCCAAGAGCTAAAAATAGAAATTTATCGATCGGTCTGTCATTCTTAAAAATTGGACTCTCAACTCCGCCCACTGCAAACGAATATCGACTTATCCATATTCACTAGCGCGATCTATTGGTAGTATCCATTTCGCTCCAATGAAACTTCCATAAGGTGAGACTACTATTTAGTTCTTTATGCAATGGTACAAGTGGTTGCCAAATAAAAACCAACCTATGAATCAGTTTGAAATTTCTTATAGTGTCGTGTGACAGATGACAGTACACGACAGTAATGCCACCCACTTCCCTCAGCAACGCCACCTGCCTTAAAATACGGATACTTATTGTTCCACCCTCGTATTAGTCGGCTTAATTGAAAAGCTTTTCAAAAACTGATAATAATATTTCGTAATTGTTTCAAAAATGTAAATACTCAATCACGCGTTAAACATCAATAGAAATTAATAAACAAAATCGATATAAGGACAAAAAAAGTAGAATTTAACTATACCGGCCTGAACAGCTGGTAAATATTTCTTATTGATTATTTGGGGATCAAAGCTTTAAAATTCCGATTTAAATTAAAAAAAATTGTAAGAATTGAAAATAATAAACAGCACAGATGATAATTTTAATAGTATATTTACATATAAGAAATACTTAATACGCTATTTCTTAATAATTAATAATTACAGTTTGCATTAAAAGTCGTAATTATATGAAATGATTCAACAAATAGTTTGGGTTGGATTCTCAATTGATTCTAAATGCAAGGTAATTTACAAGAAACTATAGAAAATAAACACTTTCTATATAATTTCTATTAAAATGATTAAACTCAGAAGAGAATCCAATCTCTCTAAATTTGTACTACAGAGCCAGAGTATGGTAAGTCCAAAAACTTAGTTTTTCAGAACATTTTTAATATATTCATTTTAGACTGTAGTTAAAATTGAGCTATTTACCTAAAATTTTATCAATTTGGACGTGGTTATCACTGGGATGGGTTTGGAGTTTTATTTGGCTTATCTAGTCTTACTAATTTTTTTATATGGTAATTTTTGTTTTAGGATTCGCCAGATGCTTCATATAGAAGTAACGGTAGTAGAATATTGGCAAATTGTTCTCCTATCCACGCAGCTACCCCGCAGACATCTCAACAGCCAATTATGAGTATGGAGGACGATGAAATCTCAGACCAAGAAATTGTAAGTTTATTACATTTTATTAGTTTAAAAATTATATATTTTAAAATATTTTTCGATCAAGAACTGAATTTTCTATTGCTTTCTATTCATAATTTTTATAATTTTATTTTCGGAAATAGAATATTTTAAATATCTCGATATTAAAAAGTACATTCGAGAAGGATGCAGCACTTAACGTGATGTTTTTTAGCCACTAGTTTTGACCGATTTTAAAAAATCATCAAAAAGTCATTAAAAGCTCAAAGGACCTCGCCCTTTTCTAACGGCAAAGTGGCGTTCCGTCAAATGTAATAAATTTTGAATATGATGTTGTACTCGACTTGTTGACCAAAAGTGTTCATGGGACCAATTCAATCCTATGACTAATTTTTAAAATATAAAGTCGAAAAATCGTATTTCTTGAAACTGCGTAACTTAATTAAAAAGAAAAAAAATAAGCATTTTTAGTTGATTGTAGCATCCTAGTCTAACGCAAACGTACACATGAATAGTTAAAACTCTAAACATATACAGGGTGGTACTCAGTTACATCAGGGGGAATTTTTGAAATTCTGAGAGATTCTGATATGGAATGAAAACATGGTCAAAAATAAAAACTTACATAATGTTTACTGTTCTAACCTTATATAAACCCATTTTACATTATTTGTATAAAGGGTGATTGTTAATTCATTCCACAGAAAGGCGTTTCTTAAAAAAAATACACTCTGTATATTAAGGAATTTGTTATTAATATTGATTATGCATTTAATACCTAGAAAACAATACTGTTTATGGAATACAGGGTGATAGACACATCTAATTCGTTTTTGATGCAGCAATAATTAAAGAAATATTCCTTTTTCAGAATCACCCTATATTTTTCAATTCGATCCGTCAAAATGTACGAACTATTTATTTTTGTTATTAGCTTCAAGCAATTAATAACTTCATATAATTTCATAATTTTAGTATGATCCGTTTTTAAAATTCCAATATATATAGTGAACCATTAAATATCAGACAATTCAGGATATTCGCACACTGGAATTTTTTATTTGCTGAAAAATTATCGGGAATAATACCACAGCTTATACAATACAGCTCCACAACTCCGTGTCGGCGTCTTTGATCTGGCGGTCGAGAACCAAGCAAGACGGAATGGTGCTATCTCTGTTAGATTAAAGGGAAAAGTCGGGCCCGGATTAAGCAATTTTTTTATTATTGAAAAAATTGAAAACCTTGACGTAATAAGGTTGGTTACATGCCATGTTAAGTAAGTTTTGGGAAATTAAATTTTTAATTTGTTTTAAATCTGTCAAATATAATTAAAAAAATATTTAAATATAAATATTACGAAAAATAGCACATCTTTCGGATTAGAGGTAAAATAATTTGTATGTGGCTAGTAAAATCCTCGTTAACAAATGTTTTGAGCTAAAACAGTCACTTCACGACAAATTGTGACTTGGATCCTTTTTACACCAAGGGCTTCAATTGTTAAAGAAATGTGTCACGCTCGTGGATGCAAATCAAGTGGTACCCCGTGTCTCTGGCAAGTGTTACTCTTCGCGCAAAGGGTTTATACCTAGATAAACGAATGCTTCGACTGAGGTCTGGGAACTCTATGGTATTTTGGAATTATAAAGAATTTGTGCTTTTATTTTAACAATATTGGTTATATTTAGATGTATTAATATTAATTGAAATACAGATTTGTAGAAGTAATACTTTAACAGTTTTTATTAATATAATATATTCAATTTTTATCTGACCATACCGAAGTAGGGAATTTTGAAACTTTATAGTAATGTGAAATTTGAATTACAATATTACACGATATTACATAATTAGTACTTATTTTAGGTAGGTACTAAATTTGTACTTGGAGAAAGTAATATCGATTTTTACAAGAAAACTTGAAAAGTAAATTAATTTAGTTCTTATTTCTGATGTAAAACTTAAACCAAGAAAACAAATAAATTGTAGTTTGTTCAACAAGGGTGGATATGATAGCCATATCACACAAAGACGAAGTTTGAGCACGACGTCGTAGGCGGAGTACTCAATCGTCTGATTGTGATATGAACAATCCACTCGATATGGTCAGTATATTTTTTCTACGACCCACTAACGAAAATCTACAAATTTAAAAATTATTTTAGGTTATTTAGACAAAATAACTAATTTTAAAATAATTTACGAAGTTGACTAATTTATAAAATAAAATAAACATGAAAAATTAATTAGTCCTCGGCCTAGATTCGATCCTGGGCTTTTCGCACGGAAGACAGATGTTCTGTCCTCATCTTCACCGAAACTTTCAGGACTTTAGTTTTAATACTCGTAATTAAATTAGTATCATGTAGTTTGATTAAAATTTATTTTTTTTTAAATGTGGACATAATAAAAACAAAAATGCTATTATTTATCGAGTCTACACAAAAATTTTAATGTATATTTAATATCAATAACTAAAATATATATTGACAATTAGTTTAACAGAATTATCACTTATTTAAAAATTTTTAAATAATAGGAGTTGGGTGACCAAAATATGAACTGTGATTTGTAGATTTAATTTTGTTAAAGTGTTCTCACTACCTAAAATGGATATGAAATATATTCGTAGTTGAACGCAATAACATAATTTTTCGTTTTGTAGTATGTGCGTAGATTGGCTAATATCCATGCACAGATTACAAAACGAAAAAGTATGCTATTGCCTTCAATTGAACGAATATATTTCATATCCATTCTAGGTAGTGAGAACACTGCAAAAAAAATAAATTCGCCAATCACCGTTCATATTTTGATCAACCGACTGCTATTATTTTTAAAATTTTAAATAAATGACAATTCTGTCAAACTAACTGTCAGTATATTTTTTAGTTATTGAGATTAAACATACAATAAAATAAGTTACTCTTTTGGAAAACGTTAGCATGGATGACTAAAGGGTATTGGGTTAATTAATTCTAAAAGTGTGGTACAAATGTTATTTTTTGTAGCCAATTCTTCAAAATTATTTTAAAATATCTTTTCAATATTGAATATTAGTTCTACAAATTCATCATTTGACAGTTGCAGATTTCCAAATGTATCTGAATTGGCGTTATCATATGCCTTTTAAAAGCAATAAAAAGAAAAATCGTCTAATTCAACGTGATCTTTGTTATATTTAAGACAGGTATCGCAGGAGTGGATTCGCAAGGCTTTTATTAAAAGGTAACCACACACATACCTGATAAAATTTTTCTGTAGCAATTCGTCTTTACAATAATTTAGGGTGTTAATAATTTCATCATAAAATAAAATACAAGGTGTTCCATTTAAAAAACATACATTTTAATTTTCCAGGCAAAAACGTGACACCCTGTATATCCAAAGATATTTTTAAAATATGTAGGTATTTTTCAAATCCATATAACTTTTATTTAAAACTTTCTTGCGTGTCTACAACAAAATAATGAACAATAACGCACTAATGAGACACCCTGTATAAATTATATTTTTAACAATGAAAATTTCTTATAATGTAGTACTTATCGGTTTGGGTCCTTGGGAAAACTAAAGAATGTTTTCTTGCAGGTATAACCCTTATTAAAACAGCTTTTGACTGCACAAACTCATTCTACTCACAGCTAAAGAGTCACCAAAATAATAACAGTACCTTTAACTCAAACAAAATCAACGAAATTATAGGCTCCACGAAATTATACAATCAACGAAATTATACGCACGACTCAACACCTTGCCTAAGTACGCTTCTGAACGCCAAAACCGTCTTTTCCCTTCGAAGGCGGAGCTTAAGCGATGCACGACGAAATCGACGCAAACCGTTGCCGCCAAGAGAGTGTTTTAGCTGTATTGTTAAGCTGTGGTAATACCACAAGAACTCAGATTTAGCCAGATATTTTTTGTGGTTATTTTCGAATACTTACTTTCATCAAAGTATATTAACCGTTGAGTAGCGACATAAAGCATCGGTGCCTTTGATCTTGGGTGGTGCAAATTTTCTTTCTCTCTCTTTTGACGTTATTTACGGAACGACACACTAAAACCCTGCTCGAATTATGAACTGGTCTTGAATGTGATGTTTACACTGCTCGACGTAATTTGAAGTAAAACTCTTTTGTAGTTTACATTTATAATAAAGGTTTGGTCATTAGGCAGTTTTATATTTATGAGTATTTAACTTATGTAGTAAATATAAAAATATATATCACTTATAGCACATGCATTTCCTGGCATAATGAAAAACCCACAAAACCACAAAAAATCTTAACAAAAACACAATAAAAGAGCATTAATAAATCCACAACAACGAATTCCTATATCAGCTGTCGGACTAAAGTGAAAGGGTTGTTTACATCTTTAGAAGACGTCTCGCCTCTCTATTTCGCGTCGGCGCACTAGAATTCGGTTTCCCAGCTGTCGCTACTCAACGGTTAATATACTTTGCTTTCATTGGCAATTGCCTAATGAAAGTAAGTATGAGAAAACCACCGTAAAAAAAAATCCTGCTAGATCTGAGCTCGCGTGGTATTTGGTAAGACCATTCCATGAATAGAAAAATCAATTCAATTAAACTTTATTTTTTTTTGTATTTTTCTGGAGTTGATTTTTCAATCTCCCTTACTATTTCTGCCTCGCAAATATTAATAAATCTCGATATACTTACTGAAATATTACGAGGAATATTGATTGCTGTTTAATTCTGTTTTTGACCTTTACAATTGTCAAACTGATGCGACGCGCAACGCTTGATAAACGAACAATAAATGCTACGGTAATGTAATTTATCCGATATTTTTATCCACTTGCATTTCTGTTTCTTCCTATTTAGCCGGTAGTAAACTACGATTTTTGTACTCACAAATGGGAATTATTAGACCTACATACGTGAGTGGATATGTCTGATATTTAATATGGTTCACTATTTATTGGAATCTCAAAAACGGATCATACTAAAATTATGAAATTATATGAAATTATTAATTGCTTAAAGCTAATTACAAAAATAAATAGATCGTACATTTGGACGGATCGAATTGAAAAATATAGGGTGATTCTGAAAAATGAATATTTCTTTAATTATTGCTGCATCAAAAACGAATTAGATGTGTCTATCATCCTGTATTCCATAAACAGTATTGTTTTCTAGGTATTAAATGCATAATCAATATTAATAACAAATTCCTTAATATACAGAATGTATTTTTTTTTTTTAAGAAACGCCTTAACAATCACCCTGTATACATATAATGTAAAATGGGTTTATATAATGTTAGAACAGTAAACATTATGCAAGTTTTTATTTTTGACCATGTTTTCATTCCATATCAGAATATCTCAGAATTTCAAAAATTCCCCCTGATGTAACTGAGTACCACCCTGTATATGTTTACACTTTGAACTACTTATGTGTACGTTTGCGTTAGACTAGGACATAGTAATGCTACAATCAACTAAAAATGCTTATTTTTTTTCTTTTTAATTATGTTACGTAGTTTCAAGAAATACGATTTCTCGACTTTAGCACCCTGTATTTTAAAAACTAGTCATAGGATTAAATTGGTCCCATGAACACTTTTTGTCAACATCATATTCAAAATTTATTACATTTGACGGAACGCCACTTTGCCATTAGAAAAGGGCGGGGTCCTTTGAGTATTCTATTTGAAATAGTGTTATTTAGGGTTTCTCGTATTTTCATTATGATATTTTGAAACTTAAAGCTCCTTGATTGTTTTTTTCGAAAACTTAAAAGAATGAAACTTCAAAAAACATTGGTAGATACTTTATTTTCTCAAAATTTGAATTTTCTAACAAAACAAAACATTTTTGAAATATAATTTTCCGAAAATTATAAAAGGTGCTGTAATTACCTTAAAAAACCATAATGTCTCTTGTGAAATTTGTATTTCATGGCATAGCTCGTATTGCAGTATTAATGACGAAACGTCACTATTCTTCTAATATTTTCCAAGAAAATAACTGCTAAAATAATACTGTTTTAAAAATATAAATCGCTAAAAAAGTGCCACAATTCAAAAAAATATAGTTTAAAGATAATCTGATTTTTTTTGAAGATTTTAGAAGGAAGCTTTAATATTTGATCGATGTATGGAATTATCTCAAAAATATGATTTTTTTGAATTGTGACGCTTTTTTAGAAAAGTGCGAAATATTTTTTTATTTTTTTAGAGTCAGTTAGAGGACCATGGCCATTTTAAGTCTTTATCGAGACTTTGGGAACACCTACCGCATTTGGCGGTATTCACCAATTACATATTGTCAAATTCCGATCCAAATGGATTGATGTTTTACCTTCTGACTGATCTTTATAAGGAAGGAAACGCGAAAGAAATGAGAAAGTGGGCATTCGAAATTCATTCCTGTTTCCTAGTACCTGGCGCTGTAAGTAATTTTATTTATTGGAAAAAACGGTTTTACGAAGATATTTTTAGTTGTTTTGTATCCTTTCATGTAAGGGCTTACCGTTTAAAACCAAATTAAACCATTAAAAAGTATATAGGGTGTTCTGTAATGATATACAAATATTTAAAGGTTTGAATCTATGATTCTTGTGAACATATTTGATATCTTCCTGGTTGTAAGGGATACAAAAAAAAATATAAACAAAATTTATAGGTAGACCTGAGGAGTCATATTTTAAAACTCCATAGAGGTATACAGGGTATTGCACGACTCAGGTACAAAGAACGCCAATTTATTACTTCAGATTTAAATTACTCTCATTTTTCCATTCTTTTAATACATGGTTTGTCTAGGTTATACAGGGTACTCTAAAAAGAATTGGCATTTTTGAATGAAAATCTTAAGTAAATCAACGTCCTTTAAAAAATTACATACTGTGAAAAAATTGTTAAATAAAATAGGTAAAAATAGATAAAAATAGGTAAAAAAGGGTATAAATAGGTAAAAATAGGTATACATAGGTAAAAATAGGTATACATAGGTAAAAATAGGTATAAATAGGTAAAAATATGCATAAATAGGTATAAATAGGTAAAAATAGGTATACATAGATAAAAATAGATATAAATAGGTATACATAGATAAAAATAGGTATATATACGTAAAAATGGGTATAAATAGGTATAAATAAATAAAAATAGGTAAAATAGGTAAAAATAGGTAAAAATAGGTAAAAATAGGTAAAAATAGGTAAAAATAGGTAAAAATAGGTAAAAATAGGTAAAAACAGGTAAAAATAAGTAAAAATAAGTAAAAATAAGTAAAAATAAGTAAAAATAAGTAAAAATAAGTAAAAGTAAGTAAAAATGGGTGAAAATAGGTAAACATAGGTAAAAATAGGTATACAGAAGTAAACGTAGGTAAAAATAGATAAAAAAGGTAAAAATACCTACGTGAAATTTTTATTATCATGAATTACACTTTTATTTAATAACGTTTTTATTCTATGCTTGTTAGTATACAGGGTGACTCAAAACTCAGGCCCTTGAGTTTCATGTTTCATTTAAATAGAACTTCCTATATTTTTAACACTTATCGATATTTGATGACATTAAATGAAATTTATGGTGTCATGAATCAATTTTTCATAAAAAAGAATGTTTAAATAGACATAACTGTCACTATTATTCTACTTTAAATTCACATTCTATAGTTATAAATTATTAAATATATGTTATTTACGTTTGGAGAACAAAATTCTTCAAATAAAAGTTATTTCTAATATTATTCTCTATAATTTTTGTTTTATACAAAATTTTCCAAAAATGGTCCGTATTCGAGAAATTTGACAAAATGTAAAAAAAATTAATTTTTATAAAAATTGTTCAAATAAAAGTTGTTTGTAATATAATTCTCTATAATTTTTATTCTATACATAATTTCTCTAAAATGGGCCGTATTCGACATATTTGAGAAAATGTGTAAATTTCGAATTTTGAAGAAAACTCAAAAAACGGATAAAGAAAAAACATTAAATTTTAAACTTAAATTTTATTTCGGCCTGAAGTGAAATGATTAGATTTTGGACAAAGTCGGAACATCTAGGGGGGTACTTTATGGGAGGCCGTTTTTATATTTTATGGAATATATCTGTTATTTATGTTTGGAGAAGAAAATTGTTCAAATAAAAGTTACTTCTAATATTATTATATATAATTCTTGTTTTATACAAAATTTTCCTAAAATAGTCCGTATTCGAGAAATTTGACAAAATGTAAAAAAAATATTGTTTTATAAAAATTGTTCAAATAAAAGTTGTTTGTAATATAATTCTCTATAATTTTTATTTTATACATAATTTCTCTAAAATGGACCGTATTCGAGATATTTGAGAAAATGTGTAAATTTCGAATTTTGAAGAAAACTCAAATACGGTTAAAGAAAAAAACATTAAATTTTAAACTTAAATTTTATTTCGGCCTGAAGTGAAATGATTAGATTTTGGACAAAGTCGGAACATCTGGGGGGGGGTACTTTATGGGAGGCCGTTTTTATATTTTATGGAATATATCTGTTATTTACGCTTGGAAAAGAAAATTCTTCAAATAAAAGTTATTTTCGCCGGTATTTAACTGTAAAACTTTAATTTAAACACCCTGTATATATAGATTAAACACCGACTAGACGTAAAATATGGTCAGACGGTGGACTGCAATTCAAATTAGGTATTTTTTTCATAGGGAAATACACCTATGGTTAGGTTAGATAGATATTAAGATCTATCTAACCTAACCATAGGTGTATTTCCCTATGAAAAAAATACCTAATTTGAATTATGTATTTTTACTTTCCTATCTGTATACAGATATAAGGAAAGTATAGGAATCATGATTTTTTTTCGATCTCCAGTTTTCGACGGAACATCTGGGGGGGTACTTTATAGGTGGTCATTTTTATATTTTATTGAATATATCTGTTATTTACGTTTGGAGAAGAAAATTCTTCAAATAAAAGTTATTTCTTATATTATCATCTATAATTTTTGTCTTATACAAAATATTCCTAAAATGGTCCGTATTCGAGAAATTTTACAAATTGTAAAAAAATCGAATTTTTAAGAAAATTGTTCAAATAAATTTTGTTTGCTATGTTATTTTATATAATTCTTATCCAAAACATACTTTCTCTAAAATGGCAAACCTTATATTAGAAGAATGGAAAAAATAATAGCAATCATAATCTAAAATAATTCAAAAATGCATATATTTGGTTATTACCTGAGTTATGCAACACTCTGTATGTCTCTATGTAATTTTAAAATGTGGCCCTCAAGCCACCCTACAAATTTTGTTGATACATTTTTTTAATATATCTTACACCAAGAATGATATCAAATTTTTTCACAAGTTTAATGAATTGATTTTGAAAATGTAAAAATATTTTATTTCTAAAAAAAAAAAAAAAAAATTAATTTTTGATAAATAAAATTTATAAAACACACATATTTTTTTTAATATAATGAACAAATTTAATTTCAAAAATAAAAAAATGTACACAAACTTTTATATATTTTTTTGACTGGTTTTTAATTTTTGAAATCGAATAGAAATAATTTCAAATTATATGTGGAAAGTATTTGGTGTTTCTAATCATTATTCGAGAATCCTCATATACAGGGGTCGGCATAAGTCAGGCAACAAATTTGCATAAAAAAAATGCAGTGTTAAAACGAATTTATTTGAAGAAATTACAAAAATGATTCGAAAAAGGGCTATTTTAAGTGTTCAAATTGATGCTCATCTTGATCAATTTGACGCAGTGGCGGCTCGTCGCCAAAATTTTGAGGGTTCACAGTTGCCAGACTTATATCAACCCCTGTATTATTTTTTATTTTTAATAATTCTTTTTTAATTTTTTTAATTTTTTAATTTTCTCAGCCTCTAAGGTTAAGCAACGTCGACGAAAACATCGCTCGCGAAATCGACGAAGTATTAACTAGAGAATTCGACAAAGAAGAAATCCTCCGTAAAATATTCTGGAAAGCCAGACATAGAGCCAAAGAGGAACTAACTAAGCAATTAGCCGACTTCCAACAGAAAAGAACTGCTGGTTTGGGGACCATCTACGGCCCCACGGACCAAATTCTAGCCGAAGTCTATAGCGATAAGGGAAAAGAGACCAAACTCTACGAGTCTTTGTTCTTGGAGAAGTTAGATCCTTACTTGGAGGAGCTCGAAAAGGAGAGTTACGATACTAAACGTTATTATATGGCTGCTGCATTAACTACTGTGCTTACTAGAATATTTCAAATTCGTCCAACCACCGCACATGCCTTAGACAGGTGTCCTACTTTTGTTAATAAAGAAAAATCCTTCAGGACCAAGTTTATTGGAAAATATTCCAGAAAGGTAAAAATTAATTAATAATAATAATAATAATGACTTTATTGCTTTCAATACATACAAATTATTATACAAAATTATATAAATATACATAAAAAAATACTGAAAGACAAAAGGCGACGTTCGCACTTACTGGCGAGCTCAAAGATTGAGCCAGCAAATAAGCAGCGCTCTTCCACGCAACCCAGAAAAATATAAATAATTAAGTAATGCATACAGATTTTCTATGAAAAAAAAGTGAAATTCTAGCTTTCAATAAGAAAGCAAACAAACAATTAATATGGAAACTTAGAAATAATAAAAAAAAGGTCAAATTTTATAAATTCTAGATCTGTGTTGTTATTGTAGTTATTAATCAATAGTGACGAGTAAAAAATAGAAATAACATGAAATATTATTGTTAAACTAAATTTAATTAACAATATAAATTAAAAATTGTAAGTGATATCTCCGTTAAATAAAAGGTTTTTGACTACTTGTCTAAAACTTGAGAGTGATGTGATATTAAATATTTTAGGGGCAAGGTTAAATAATTTGGCTGTGAAATACGAAAAGCAAGATCGGAATAAGGTTGTAGTGTGTTTCGGAAGTGTTAGGAAATTTTTAAATCTTACATTAACATTATGGACTTCAGATCTCCTTTTTATTTTTTCATACAAATAATCAGGTTTTTTTGATAACAATAATTTATGGATCAGGACATAGGCATGTAACAATCTCCTTTTATTTAGATTAAGCCATCCCAAACTAGCCAGATGTTGAGATGTACGGGTACGACGACGAATCCCGCAAATAAATCTAACACACGTTCGTTGTAAACGGTTTTTATGAAATTGTGTAAGTGCAGGCCCATATACAATGTCACCGTAATTAAACTGAGACAGCACTAAGCTTTCGCAAAGCAACTTTTTGGTATTTCTGTTGAGAAATTCCCGATTAGAATAAATTAACTTTAGATTACAGAAAGATTTTTTTATTATAGAAGAGATATGTTGCGAAAAGGATAAATCTTCGTCAATGTATATGCCCAGATTTTTCTCACAAACTGAGAATGTTAAAAATTCATTGTTAATACTTACCCTTAGAATATTTTTAATTCTATTTTTAACTTGTTTACGGCCGAAAAGCATAGCTTTGGATTTTGTAGCGTTAATTGTTAAGCAAAATTTGTTAGATATCTCCGAGATAGTTTGCAGATCTTCGTTGATTTTTGTGATAGCGCCATTCGATTCGGATTCTTTAAAGTCAAGGTAGAGTTGAGTGTCATCAGCGTAGAAATGAGAATTCATGTGTTTCAGATATTTAAAAAATTGAGAGGTATAAATTGAAAATAAGAGAGGACCTAAAATAGATCCCTGCGGTACTCCACGTGTAATATGTATTAAATTGGATGTTTTTTTTTCTATTTGAACTCTTTGATATCTTCCATTTAGGTAAGAGCTCAATAAATTTACTGAGGTTGTGTTAAATCCCATAAAATGACATAAAGCTAACAGTAAAGAGTGATTTATTTTGTCAAAAGCTTTTGAGTAATCTAAGAGAATTAGTATACATAGTTTTTTAGCATCTATATACGAGTAAATATCGTCTAATACTTTAAGTAACGCTGTAGTGCAACTGTATTTTGGACGGAAGCCCGATTGATGTTTAGGTAGAAGATCAAATTGTGAAATATGAAAGCGAATTTGTTCGTTTAAAATTTTCTCAAAAGCCTTTGACAGAGTACAAAGTATACTAATTGGCCTCAGATCAGAATATTCAGTTGGGTTCTGTTTTTTGGGAAGCGGCAATACTTTTGATTGTTTCCATAAGGATGGGAAGGTGGAATTATTGATACAATGATTGACTATATGTGTCACGTAGGGTAGAATTATAGGGCAAGTATGTAACAACATTACAATATTTATTTCATCCGGACCAGTAGCATGGGATTTAATGGAGAGTAATTTTTCATATACTTTTAATTCATTAACTTCGGTAAACTTAAAATCTTGCAGATTCTCTTGGACATGAGACTCATAATGATTTAAAATGTGTATGTCTGGGTTATCTAGGCCACCAATACCGTGAATAAAATAATTATTTATTATTTCAGGATTTTTTAGTTCATTGGAAATAGTAGATTTTTTATTTTTTGTTATGTTCAGATTATTTAATTCTTTCCATGTGTTACTTTTTTGTCTTAACTTAAATTCCAGGAATGCTTTTTTCTCTCTCTTAATTGCGTAATTAACTTGATTTTTTAGAGTTTTGTAATACTCCCAATGATTAGGAACTTTTGTTTTATTGAATCTCTCTAATGCCCTGTTTTTATATTTAATCATTATTTTTATTGTGTCTGTAAGCCAAGGTGCCTTATTTTTTGTTATTTTTATTTGCCGTACAGGGGCATGTTTCTGAAATAAATACAATATATTGTTATTTAGAATCTTAATTTTTTTGTCAATGTCGTTTGTTGTGTAGATTTCTGAAAAATCACACATATTCAAATCATGATTGAATTCATTTACGTTTAATCTTTTAAAATCGCGGTACTTGTGTAAAAAAGGTTTTAATTTATTTTTAACGTATCCAACGTTACATGAGGGTATTGAATGGTCTGAAACGGTAGAACTGGAAACTTTTATGTCATTAGGAGAAAGTATTTCTGAACAAATAATAACATCTAGTAAATTAGGACCTCTAGTTGGTTGGTCTACAACTTGTATTAGATTATATGAGTTTATAACTGAGTAAAACATAGTGCACCATTTATTATTAAGGTCTAGAAAATTTATATTTAAATACCCAGCAATTATAATATAATTATGTCTTGTTGCCACCCAGTTAAGACATTCATCAAGTTCGTTTGAGAACTGTGCAAAAGAGAAGTCGCTAGGTCTGTAAGTTGAGCAAATAGCGTACTTATTATTATTATTATGTATAACTGAAATCCATAATTGTTCAGCTCAGTTCGGTTTAAGGTCTAGGCCCACTACACCAGATCATACTATGACCGTGATCGTACCGGCATAGGCAGAAAAATATTCTTTGTATAGATTTAAATGAGACAATGCCCACTAGACCGGCCCGGCATCAACCACACTATCCTCATTTGAATCTATACAAAAAAAAAATCAGGTCCGGGCACGGTCATAGTATGGTACGGTATAGTGGGCATAGACCTTTAAACTTAATAACACAGAACCAGCAAAACAATTTCTAATATAAATGGCTACACCGCCTCCTCTTTTTGTCAACCGATCGCGTCGGAATAATTTATACCCAGGTAGAAGTACAAAATCATCATCAATTTGGGGTGAAAGCCATGTTTCAGAGACGGTAATTATATCGTAAATATCACAAACAGTACGTTTAAACTCAAAGAAATCAGCCAACACAGATCTAGAATTGATATGACAAATAGAAAATGAAAACATTAATTTAAATAAACAGTAATTTATAATTTAGTTTATTCCACTAAAGCTAACACCTGTTTTACTTATAAATAGATAATTAGACTAAAAAAAAATTCGCGTATAGAGATGGGATAACTTTGGTTTCACGAGAAATTACTAGTAACTTATACCACTTCTTGTTTGTTTGTCACTTTTATAACTTGACACTGAATTGGACCTGTGAAGCTTAATTTTTTCGAGCTCAGGATCAGCTGGTGAAGTTCTAGCTCTTTTGTTTGTTGTTTCCAGAGCTGGTGCTAAGTTTTGCGGGGTGGCAGGTTCTTCAGTGTTTACCTTAATGTTCTGTTCAAGTTCCTTTAAATTATTAATGGTGTATACCACTCCATCAACAAACAAAGACCAATTTTTAATTCTAGCAGATTTTTTTTGGCCTCTAGCTGCTTTAAGGTGATTGAGAAGAAATGTTTGTGTTTCCCTATCTTCTTTACAGAGATCTTGATTAATAAAAATATTTTTTCCTTTGAGTTTTACACAATTGCGAAGTATTTCTTGCTTTATAAGATAGTTTGTAAATTCAACTTTGACAAGAAAACTTGTTTTACTCGGAATTTTAAAAATGTTGTCAATATCTGTAAGTGATACTTTAACTTTAAGTAAATCTTCTAGCTTTAATAGAATAAATTGTAGTAGATTTTCAGATTCTGGCACTTGTATACCGTGAATAATAATATTATTACGCCTAGACGACAGTCTTTTCAAAGTTATGCATCTGGTTTCTACGGCTTGTTGTTTAATTTCAAGATTTTTTAATTTATTTGTGTTTTCATCCAACCGATCAATAATATTTTTGTTTTCCTCTTTCATTTGCTGAGACAATTTGTTATTTTCTGACTGAATAACATCCAAAAGTTTCTTAAATAAATCACAGTTACTTAAATCGCCGGAGTCGCCCATCTTTAATTTGAAATGTTACCATCTAACAAAAACTCTTGACGATAAATGAGAATATTTGCCTTGTTACCGACCCAAAATAATATAAAGATTCAAATATCTATTGTTAGAATATATATTGAAGCTTCATACAACTTAAAACAAGTATATTATATATTCATTGACTCACATGGAAAGTTCCAGGAAAATATGTGCACTAGTTCACTGTTAAATTAACGTTTTTATAGGAGCACTTTTAATACGTCTTTGCAGTACAACGATATCTTGTCAATATTTTTTTTTTTTTTTTTTTAGAATAATTCTGTGGCGCCTATAAGTAGTTTTTTACGTAAATGGAGTTTTTAATCAAGATACGTTTAGAAAAGTGTATATTTTGGGCAGTTAAAAGGATCTTAGTCTATAAATGTTGTAAAGTAATAAAAATAAGGTACAAAAAAACATATACAAGGTCTGATCAAAAAATAACCGTTATTTTCAAATTTCGTGAGTTACGTATGTTCGATTTTCGCATTTTTTTTTTCTGTTATGTTGGTACACATATCTGTTATATATGTTGGCAATATCAGCCATTTTGGATTGTCAGTTTGTTTTTGACAGATAAAAAGGTTAGTCGTGTTTTGGTGTGCTCTTCGATTTTTTACTATTCGAAAAAATGGATCAAAGAAATTAAGTTTTGTGTAAAAAATGAAATTAAATGCGCAAGGACATTTGAAATGTTGACTGTGGCGTTTTGCGAGTCTACTATGAGCAGAACACAAGTTCAATTGTGGTATAACTGGTTTAAGGAAGGCCGAGAAGACGTCAATGACGATACTCCTCCTGGTCGCCAACAACCGATGAAAACATTGAAGCAGTGAAGAAAATGATTTTGGATAATCGTCGAATCACTATCAGAGAGGTTGCTGATGATGTTGGCATATCGTTTGGCTCATGCCAAGCAATTTTTACGGATGTTTTAGGCATCAAACGTGCGGCAGCGAAGTTTGTTTCAAAATTGCTAAATTTTGAGCAAAAACAACGTCGCATTGACATCGCTCAGGAGCTGTTGAACATTGTCAACGACGATCCAGATTTCCTCAAAAAGGGCATAACTGGTAACGAATCATGGGTGTATGGCTATGACATTGAAACCAAAGCCCAATCATCCCAATGGAAGCGTCCAGAAGAGCCAAGACCGAAAAAAGCACGTCAAGTTAGGTCAAATGTGAAGGTTTTGCTCACTGTTTTCTTCGACTGCAATGGCGTGGTGCATCATGAATTCTTGCCACAAGGTCGTATGGTCAATAAAGAATACTACCTTGAAGTTGTGTGCCGTTTGCGCGAAGCAATTCGTCAGAAACGCACAGAATTGTGGAAAAAACAATCATGGATTTTGCACCATGATAACGCACCAGCTCACACATCGATGCTTGTGCGTGAGTTTTTGGCCAAAAACAAAACCGTTATCATGCCTCAACCACCGTATTCACCGGACTTGGCCCTCGCTGACTTTTTCCTCTTCCCAAAACTGAAGACACCGATGAAAGGAAAGCGTTTTGCTACGATTGAGGAGATAAAAGAAAAATCGAAACAGGAGCTGTTGGCGATACCAAAAAGGGCGTTTCAGAAGTGTTTCGAGGATTGGAAAAAACGCTGGTATAAGTGTATTATATCTGAGGCAGATTACTTTGAAGGGGATAAGATAGTTATTGATGAATAAATAAATACTTTTTGAAAAAAATTGAAAATAATGGTTATTTTTTGATCAGACCTCGTATAATAATACAAGGGTAACCGCGGAAGACAAAACGTCATAATTAAACATAAACAGTAAAATTTTGTAACATAAAATAGTTGAAACAAAATATTTCTACATATTTTTTAATTTTTACGGGACCAAATCTCCTAAAAAGATCGTCGATTTGGATTCTAAAAATCCTTATTCATATGTCCCAAACTTTTTCAGCGCCGACCACAGAATTTTTATAAATATCCAAGACAGTGACGTAGCCAGAATTTTTTTATGGTAGGGATTCTATGAACAAAGTGAAATATTTCCGCTGATAAGATTGTATTTGTAGAAAAAATAAATAAAAACAAATGATTAATAGCGATGAGCGCCAAAAGGTCGGTTGAAGGTAGAAAAAGTTACGTATCTCGAAGCATCATCTAGCGGTGGAAATTAATTAAAAATATCAGGACCGGTTTTTGAGATATGACGATAAAGGAAAGTTTTTTAATTATCCTTCATTTATTTTCAGAACTATCAAAAAATATTTTAAAGGTTTTTTATTCGATAGTAAATTCTCTTTGATTTGACGTTTTTAGATTTTGCATCCAACGTTTCGTATTCTACAGACCACCTTCAACTTTTTTTTTTTAAATATGGACCCGGATATTTTATGACACTATCAATGACATATATAGTTTAAATAGACTGCTTATCCATACGTAAATAAAACGATGAAAAGCGGGTCGAACTGGGAGATGTTTTCTCTTTGTCTAGTGCATGCAATGTTTGTGTTTTGTCTCAATTTTGAGTGCTCACTGGTAAACAAAACTTTCACAGGACCGGTTTTAAAGAAAGTTTAGTCTAGTTGAGATTTTGTTCTCATTGTCATTACTCAGTCGGACATTTTGTTGAATTGTTTATTTTATTTAGTTTTAATTATACTTATGTTCTGTTTTAAATTTTTTAATTATATGAGTACAAAAACTTGTTTTGTTTTTAAATTTAAATGGTGAATTGCTCTATAAAGGGTTGTAAGACCAGCTACAGAAATATAAAAAGTAACATTTCATTTTTCACGCAAGTATCAATACAAGTAGGTACAAGGTAAATAGGTTTATAATAATTTTATGAATTATAATTAATTATAATAATAATATTAATAATAAAGTATTTATTGTAAATACAATTACATAAATATTATTATATTCAAAGGCCCGAGTTAGAGCTATCTGGGCTTTACAAGTACATTTTAAAAGTTAGATACAAAGAAGTATCGTATAATAAAAACTCAATATAAATAGAAGAAAAACGGACCTAAGTACCAATACAGAGAGACAAACACTTTTAATCTTTGATAGGTTCTTTCTATGTGAATTCTAGCTCTGGCAATTTTGGCATTAAGTAAAGCCTCTTGATGGCTGAACTGATTTTTTTTATTGAGGAAAGGAGGCTGTATAATTTGTATACCTTCAGCTTCTGTTATGTTTCCCATAAGAAAACCACATTTTACTATCGAGAAATGATTCACACACTTCAAGTATTGAACTTTTTTAAAAAATGTCTATTTCTGAAGTTCTACCACCCTATGCTTCACTTTTGTAAGTAATGAGACCAGTAGGTGACACTCCAGTCAATATTTTAATAGTATGCCTCTTTTTGTAGTCAGAGTAATTTTTTAGCCTACAACAAAGGCATTCGGCTTGCTGTATGGGGATTTCGGTACAATCAAGTAGTACTCTTACTTACATAGAGGCACAATATTTAATATTTCTTGTTTTGAAGGCCGAATTATACCATACTAAGAACTTCTACCAGTTTTATTAAAAAATGTTAAAAAATTTAATGATAAAAAGTTTTATTCACTCCAAATAAAATGGATAAGACATTATATCTTGCATATCAGTTTTCAACTTCATAAAAGTAAATATAACTTGATCGTTCACAGACATAACTGATCTCCTTTTTCCTATTCTTTAGAAACAACGAATTCCACAATGGTGGCTAATAACTGGAAGGATTGCAATCCTATTAAAGTAAATAGTTCTTTAGCACTGACAATTCTGTTTGAAAACGGATCAACTCACCACTCTTCACTTGTGTTGAACAATCGATCCCAATTTTCTACTTTTAAACGAAGTTTTGTAAATTAAGCAAAGCTCTTCAGCAGCACACAAATCTTCATTATCTGCTTCAGTAGTAGATATATGTTTATTAACTGCAAAAACACATTAAACATAATAATAATAAATAACCAAACATTTTAAATTATGCATACGTACATCCATTGCCTGAAGAAGATAACTCAACACTTAACATTCTACTAGTACTGGCAACATATCATTATTAAAGACAGTAGCCATAATTCTTGTTTTAGCTGGATTACTTTTCTTTTTATTAATAGTCGCTTTCTTTTTACCACTAATCTGAGCTAATTTACATCGACTAAGCTTAGTTGTACGTTCTTTTTGTGATTGTAAGTCAGAATCTTTCTTTCCCCCTTACCGATGCTAAACGGATCTTGACGTCAACTAAGATTACACTTTGTACCTAGTTCATTTTACTATGATGTTGATCAGATTTCCACTGGTGGAATCTTATTATTATTCATCAAATCATTCACATTCACCGCCAAAATAATCCTTAATTGTCTAAAGGGGACAAACTTTAGAATGTGAAAAAGCTACTAACTTTTAGTAAAATCTTTAAAAAGTTTATTTAATTTTTGCATAATATCTGCTTTTATAATGCGAAATAAATTTTAAAAGAATAATCAAGTGTCCGAATAGTGCCACTATACAGTGGTCGTGGTCTAAAGTTAGTTATATACACATGAGTGTAAAATTGTTTATATCTATCTTCAAAATTGGTTAGATCTCTTAAAATGTTTTGAAAATTGGGAAACTAGACGTTATGACTCAAAATCCTTTTTTAAAATATCTAATGCAAGCTCCTTTCTTGAAATAAACATACAGATATATATATATTTTTTTTTTAATTCAATTCCTACTTTGATGAAATATGAGTTTTAAACTCATTTGGGCCAGACCTATTCTGCCTGGTGAGCACTCGGCAAGTCAAGCAATATGACCCGCTTTTCGTCGTCTTGTTTATATATGGATGAGCAGTCTATTAATCTATATATGTCATTGGACACTATTCGAAAAAACTGTTCATCCTGCATGCAGCGGCGTATCAAAGACTGGCCCTCATCTGATAAACATTGGCGTGCATCCTTGAAATAATCAATTGCTTGTAACATTTCCAAGAAAACCAATAAGATAAATTTAAAATCTTAATTAATTCCGAAAATATTACACAACTAAATACGTAAAATCATTTTTCTTAGACTTACCTATTTTATCTTGAAATTAATTACATAAAATACTTGATAAAATAATTTTCTTTCATTATTATTTAAATTTATGTTTCAGTTAAACGTCCTGGGCCATCAGTTTGTAGCACAACAATACTATACTGTGATATTTTGTAGCAACTGCCACCAAATTTTGTACGGAATTGGACCGCAGGGTTACCAGTGTTCAGGTGAGAATCAATTTAAAAAATTAAATATAATATATATAAAAAAAAAACAAATTAATTATAATTGTGGTATGCTTGATCTTTCATAAAAGTTTTTAATAACAATTAAAATTAATAATATAAAAAAAAGATATTTCTTTAGATGTTAAATGAAAAATGTGGTTGTAGATAGATATTTAAACCAAAAATGGATAGAAAAAAAGGCCCTACTAATTAATAATATAAAAACATAATTATATAAAATGAAAATTCAATTTTGACACATTTAGTGCTTGTTTATTACATTGTCCTATCAAATAGACCTTTATATTAAAATTTTGGAGGAAATTCAGGAATTTTTCATGCAAGTCACTTTCAAATATTTAAAAACTAGCGAAAAAAAAAAGAAAATAGAGTGTTTTTAAGGTTATTTAAAAACGTTAGTTGCTATAACATAAGTTCTGGATAAATACACTTCTATTTACTTTAAAAAAACATTAAGTTTTTGCTTATGTGTAAAAGAAGTTGCCTATCTAGTATCTATCAACTTCTTAGTAAATCTAATACAATATATTGAAGTTTAATTTTTAGATAATCTATTGTTACTTTTAATCTTGCTTTACTTGTCACTGTCACTTGAAGATCAAACTTCAGGCTATCAAAATATGATCAAGATAAAATTTTAATAACAATAAATTATAAATAAATGATGTATTGGCCTTTAAAATTGACGAATAGAAAGATTTTAAGTTCTTTATCCTTTGTTGTTTGTTTATGGGAAAAGTTTTATTGATTTAACGTGAGTAACTCTTTACATAAACTTAGTTCCATTTATTTATTGAATGTTTTTTAATTAATTATGTCAAATTTGGATTAGAAAATATAACTGGAATATTCTTACATCGGTGTTTTTATAAAGAAAACTGGAACTCGAACATGAAATAAGATTCCCATTAGGTAAATCTTATTATAACAATCAGCCAAACTGCACATTCGTCACGGAAAAGTTGATTTTTTTTTCAATTTTACCAGCTTTTTGTAATCTCCCTTCAAAGATTTTTGGACTGATTCCTTTGATTTTGGGTACTCCTATTTATAAGTTTATCTGTTTCTGATACTTCCTCTTTATTTTAAGCTAGTTTTTGTTACCAATAATTCTATATTTTCGTTGATTTAAATACTTTAATAATTAAAAATAAATTAATAACAAGTATTAGAAATTAAAAATTTAAAAAAACCGACTTCAGAAACATGCAGATGTCATCACCACATCTTAACCAAATTTATATGGGACCACCCATGAGATATCCCCTTACTAACAAAAAAAAAGAATCATAGAAATCGGACAAGGCAGTAAAGAATTATCACTAAACATACACAAAAAATGAAGAGTGGGGATTTTCTGATGAATCCAATTATCAGATTTTGACCAAATTTATATGGGACCACCCCTGAGGTACCCCCTTACTAACAAAAAAAGAATCATAGAAATCGGACAAGGCAGTAAAGAATTATCGCTAAACACAAAAAATAAAAGTTTGAGGATTTTCTCATGGACTCAATTATTAAATTTTGACCAAATTTATATGGGACCACCCCTGAGGTACCCCCTTACTAACAAAAAAAGATTCATAGAAATCGGACAAGGCAGTAAAGAATTATCGCTAAACACATAAAAAAATAAAAGTTTGAGGATTTTCTCATGGACTCAATTATTAAATTTTGACTAAATTTATATGGGACCACCCCTGAGGAACCCCCTTACTAACAAAAAAAAAAGAATCATAGAAATCGGACAAGGCAGTAAAGAATTATCACTAAACATACACAAAAAATGAAGAGTGGGGATTTTCTGATGAATCCAATTATCAGATTTTGACCAAATTTATATGGGACCACCCCTGAGGTACCCCCTTACTAACAAAAAAAGAATCATAGAAATCGGACAAGGCAGTAAAGAATTATCGCTAAACACAAAAAAATAAAAGTTTGAGGATTTTCTCATAGACTCAATTATTAAATTTTGACCAAATTTATATGGGACCACCCCTGAGGTACCCCCTTACTAACAAAAAAAGATTCATAGAAATCGGACAAGGCAGTAAAGAATTATCGCTAAACACAAAAAAATAAAAGTTTGAGGATTTTCTCATGGACTCAATTATTAAATTTTGACCAAATTTATATGGGACCACCCCTGAGGTACCCCCTTACTAACAAAAAAAGATTCATAGAAATCGGACAAGGCAGTAAAGAATTATCGCTAAACACATAAAAAAATAAAAGTTTGAGGATTTTCTCATGGACTCAATTATTAAATTTTGACTAAATTTATATGGGACCACCCCTGAGGAACCCCCTTACTAACAAAAAAAAAAGAATAATAGAAATCGGACAAGGCAGTAAAGAATTATCACTAAACATACACAAAAAATGAAGAGTGGGGATTTTCTGATGAATCCAATTATCAGATTTTGACCAAATTTATATGGGACCACCCCTGAGGTACCCCCTTACTAACAAAAAAAGAATCATAGAAATCGGACAAGGCAGTAAAGAATTATCGCTAAACACATAAAAAAATAAAAGTTTGAGGATTTTCTCATGGACTCAATTATTAAATTTTGACTAAATTTATATGGGACCACCCCTGAGGAACCCCCTTACTAACAAAAAAAGAATCATAGAAATCGGACAAGGCAGTAAAGAATTATCGCTAAACACATAAAAAATTAAAAGTTTGAGGATTTTCTCATGGACTTAATTATTAAATTTTGACCAAATTTATATGGGACCACCCCTGAGGTACCCCTTACTAACAAAAAAAGAATCATAGAATTCGGACAAGGCAGTAAAGAATTATCGCTAAACACATAAAAAATTAAAAGTTTGAGGATTTTCTCATGGACTTAATTATTAAATTTTAACCAAATTTATATGGGACTACCCCTGAGGTACCCCCTTACTAACAAAAAAAGAATCATAGAAATCGGACAAGGCAGTAAAGAATTATCGCTAAACGCATAAAAAAATAAAAGTTTGAGGATTTTCTCATGGACTCAATTATTAAATTTTGACCAAATTTATATGGGACCACCCCTGAGGTACCCCCTTACTAACAAAAAAAGAATCATAGAAATCGGACAAGGCAGTAAAGAATTATCGCTAAACACATAAAAAAATAAAAGTTTGAGGATTTTCTCATGGACTCAATTATTAAATTTTCACTAAATTTATATGGGACCACCCCTGAGGAACCCCCTTACTAACAAAAAAAGAATCATAGAAATCGGACAAGGCAGTAAAGAATTATCGCTAAACACATAAAAAATTAAAAGTTTGAGGATTTTCTCATGGACTTAATTATTAAATTTTGACCAAATTTATATGGGACCACCCCTGAGGTACCCCTTACTAACAAAAAAAGAATCATAGAAATCGGACAAGGCAGTAAAGAATTATCGCTAAACACATAAAAAAATAAAAATTTGAGGATTTTCTCATGGACTCAATTATTTAATTTTGACCAAATTTATATGGGACCACCCCTGAAGTACCCCCTTTCTAACAAAAAAAGAATCTTTGAAATCGGATACCGTGTTAAAGAATTATCGCTGAACATACATAAAAAAAAATATTGTGACGAATTGAGAACCTCCTCCTTTTTTGGTCGGTCAAAAATAGGTAAATTAATAAAAATAAAAATATATAATTATAAATATATAAAATAAAATAAGTAAAAATAAATAAAATTAATAAAAAAAAAGAAAAATAAGAAAATAAGAAAAAATAAAAAAAAAAATAAGTAAATATATAAAAATAATTCAAATTAATTAAAAAATGAATAAATATGCAATTAATTTTGAAAAAGTTGCCAGGGTCAAAGCTCCAATAACGTTACTAGAACAGGCTTAATTCATGAGGAAGTTGAAAATGAAGATAAAGAAGAAAAAGAAAGATATAAAGATGATTAAAAAGAAGCAGAAAAGCAAATTGTACTGATGACACTATTTTGCGGTATCCAAATTATTAATCATTTTTTATATTTTTGTTCTCTCCTATGACCCCCAGATTTACTACCAGAGGTAAATAATAATCACCATCATCATAATATTCAAATTATCAGACGATATTCAGGATACATGGGGAGAAACTCAACCTTTTTACCATAATAGAAACAGTGTTGCCAGCCAATTTTAACAGTCATTCCATATACGTAAAAAAAATCCTATTTTCCCACACAAAATTTTAAAATTTTCAAATTTTTTCTTTAAAAATGAGTTTCTGATAAAAAAAAATATTTTATAATGACTAACAGAAACAACTGAGTAGTAGCGAATGTCCCGTCTAGAATATATTTTTGTTATCTACCAGATTTGTTTAAAAAATATACCAGATTCCCTAAAAATGTATCAGATTCTATAAGAGTTTTCGAATTGTAATGGATTAGTTCGTTGCAAAGCAAAAAAAAAACAAAAACACAAACAAGGAAAACCCCCCAACAATATATACGCTGAAAAAGCCAGATTCTTAGAGAATGTACTAGATCTAATACAATTGTACTAGACTGGCAACACTGTTCCCGTCATATGTTGTTTTTCTTCTTCTTCTTCTTCTTCTTCTTCTTCTTCTTACACCTCTTGCTGTTAAGAAATATTCTTGGGTAGTTGTAATTATGGACTGACTGGCAATGTATAAACGTTAAATTAAAGACGTTATTACAGGCTTTTTTTCGGTTATTTTATACACTCAAAGTTTTACTGTCTTTATTTGCAGCTTGCCTTATTAACCTACATAGATTCTGTGTTAGACAATATGAAGATAGTTGTCCGGGTCCCATTACGAAGAAAGACAGGGGCATAATGAAACTAATTGGAATGAGACATGACGCCAACGAGCACAATAGGATTAAGAAGAATAACCAGTTTTTGCAAAGTAAGTTTTTACAAATTATTATTCCACAAACGATAGATCTAAATAATTTAAAAGTTGTTAGGATAAAATAATTTGACTTTTACTAAGTGATGAAATAAACTAAATAAAAAAAAACATTCTAATTAGACTTCATCCTGGATTTGAAGTCCGAACCTTCCGTATGGAAACTTAGTATTCTATCTCTGTGCTAACGAGACAAACTTTTTTTTTTATTATTAATAATTCGATTTAGTCTAGATAGTTTTATTAAAATTTACGATTTATCGTTAAATGTAAACCAATATCGTGTAGTATGCTAATAAAAATGGCCGATAGCGTTCCTATCATCATTGTACAAAGTAATAATTATACATTCACTCGTTTCAAAGTAAATACCTTGTTTCCAGACTTTTTCACTACCCTGTATATATACACTTTATAAAAAAGCATTAAGAAAAATGAGCCAAATTCCTGTCTTAAAGTTCTTTGGGATTGAACCTTAGATTAAAGAGACCGAAGATGTAACATTGCACACTGCGCATGTTGTCTATTTTAAGCCAAAGTAACCCACCAATTGAAAATCATTGTTGCACGACGCCACCCGAATTGCTCCGATTTCCATTCAGCGATCACACCTCCACCTGAGTTTAATCACCATTGACAGCTGTTTTTTGATTTATTTGTTGGTATTTTAGCAATTTAAAGTGTTCTAGTTATTCAATTTCAAGTTCAAAATGTCACGATGTATCTTGAAAAATTGTATGTACTTATAATACAAGTACTACTGTTATGAATATATTCGTTTTCAGCGGTAAATATTTATTAACGTTTTGACATAAAGCGCCATGATTCTCTGGGCTGAATACTTCAGATCCGCATTAAGGGGTTTCAATAAATATTAAGCATCACAAACTCAGATTTCATATTACTTACATAAATTTACAAAAGGGTAAAATTGGATCAAAAAATCCGAATCTCTAAATTTTGGAGCTAAATGCTCAGATAAAAGCAAGCGACCGATAGGGGTTACAAAAATAATCGATTTATCGATAATTCTGATATTTTTTTAATGAAAATCGATTTATCCGCTGTTTTTAATAAATTATTTTCGTTTTTTTTTTTTAAGATAATGTATTAATCGATTTTAAAGGAAATACAAAAAAAGTAGATTTATTCAAAATAATCGATTTATCGTTTAATCGGTTTTTTAATTATTTGATTATTTTCGATTTTTCAAAGATATATGAAAATAATCGATTGAATATAATCGGTTATTTTACATAATCGATATTTTGGTTATTTTTTAAAAATTATCGATTTATTGGATAATCAGCTTTTTAATAATCAATTATTTTCGATAATCGAATAATCAATTTCAAAGGAAATATGAAAAAAGGATTATTAGAAAATAATAGATAATTCGTTTTATTTTTTGGAAAATCGATTTATCATAGAATCGGCTTCTTAATTAATTGGTTATTTTCGATTTGGAACTATTGATTATTTTTGATATTTCAAAGATAATCGAATTATCGATTTTAAAGGAAATACAATAAAAATAGATTATTGATAATAATCGATTGATCGAAAATAATCGATTATTTAAAATAATCGATCATTCTGTTTTTTTTTGAAAATCGATTTGTCAATTAATCGACTTTTTAATTAATCGAATATTTTTGAAATACAATAAAATAGATTATTGGTAATAATCGATATATCATAGAATCGGCTTCTTAATTAATTGATTATTTTCGATTAGGCGATTATTTTGGAATTATCGATTATTTTCGGTATTTCAAAGATAATCGAATTAACGATTTTAAAGGAAGTACAATAAAAATAGATTATTGATAATAATCGATTGATCGAAAATAATTAATTATTTAAAATAATCGATCATTTTGTTTTTTTTTAATCGATTTATCAGTTAATCGACTTTTTAATTAATTGATTATTTTTGATTAATCGATTATTTTCGATTTTTCAAAGATTATCGAATAATCTGTTTCCATGGACGAAAAAAAAATGGTTTATTTGAAAATAATCGATTATTTAAAATAAACGATAATTCTATTTATATTATATTTTGTAAACACTGATTTATCGGTTAATTGGCTTTTTAATTAATCGATTATTTTTGATTTTTCAAAGATAATCAAGTAGTCGATTTTAAAGGAAATGACAAAAAATGTATCGTTTGAAAATAATCTATTGATCGAGAATAATCGATTATTTTCAATTATCGATAATTTATTTCGATAATCACTCATCCCTAGCGACCAAATGACTTTTAATAGATTTAAATTTTAAAATGTTATCTGGTTTCAGACATATGCATTTCTAGAGTTTTATGTGACTCATCCTTCATAATAATTAATATTCTTAAAGCAAGAAGCCTTAATATACTTTTTTCTGAGGTTACAATACAAAACAGCATTTTCTCATTTTGACTAATTTTTAATAATATGTAATAGCCGTAGAAAAAATATAATGTTCAACTCATAAGGGTAGATTTGCAGTATTAGCCTGCGCACATGCTATTTTTATAATACTCGTAGACAATGAGTAACATTTTTTGCTCTATTAACAATATATTCTATTTCAACATTTTACTGTAATCTCTTGCAGAAAAGTCCGTAGTAAATAAACGCTAACGAAATATTCTATAAAAGGTCTTCTCTTTACATAAAATGTCGTGGCATCTGTTTGATATTAAAAAATCACGATAATTTGATTTCATAATACAAAATTCGATTAAACACCTTTTAAATAAACCTAATAGTTCATTAAGTTGCTAATAAACAAAGTCCGGTTCCTGTCACAGAGTTCGGGTCGCCGCGTGTCGCCGCCCAGTTCCCCCACTCCGTTAACCCTTCTTTAGAAATTGGCAACATTTGCGCAGGTTTAAAACCGGTGTATGTTATATCTCTGGTCTCTTTTATCTAAGGATTGAACCCAAATTTTACCGAATTGCAAGTCCAAAATTACGCTGTAGCTTTTTTTTGGGTCTTTTTCAACTAATTGTAACTTTTCGTTAATAATGGGGGTTATGATTGACAACCTCTGTTATTTTTAACAGGTCTGTTATTTTATAAACACATAGAAATAACAACCTGTTCACAAATAACGTGTCTGTTAAAAATAACATTATTTATCCATCATAACCTCTAATAACTCCCAAATTAATGTGGTTCAGTTGTTTATTTAAATGTTTTGTTACATTTTGGGTGATTTATCTTTAGCTTAATTAGCAACATGATATAACGATTCTTCCAGTGATTATTCTCTAAATCCTATATTAATAGAACTTATCAGGTAGCTTTCCAAAAGTACAGTCTTTGGTTCTGCCACTTATCCAGCCTAACTTGACATTTATGAAAAAATTGCAATAAAAGCTCTAAATTTATGCAAACAAATAATAATTTCATTTTGTTCTAGTGGAAAGGGAAAGAAGACAAGCAGAAGAAAATAACAGCAGTTTTGATCTCAGCGAAAACGGTGAGTCTGTGCATGACATTTCGTCTTTTTTATATTCAATATATAAAAAAAAAAGAAATTGTATTGATTTTTCAAAATAGCATTCATGAATTTGTGTATAATAATTAAGATGGTGTAAAATATGTAAGAATTTGAAGACTTATTCCCCCCCCACATATTTAAAAATACTTTAACTGTTGAAGGTATGAACCAGCATTGATTTTTCTTTAGGTCTGTACATAATAAAATACAGTCTTGTTTGATTTTGAAAATCGTGTAAAAACTTTAACATCACTACACGTATTACACTTTTTTTCTGCTTATTAAAATGCAATTAATTGAAGAAAAAATGCAACGCAAACAAAAATACAATAATTTTCAATATGGCCGTTAATTCAAATCGTTGAACGAAGTTGCTTGTTGCGGTGAGAAAAGAATTCTGGTGAACGACGCCACGCTACGGCCAAATGGCCTATCAATTTGGGACTTATGTCAAAAATGACGTAAAATTTTCGAGAAAATTCTATAAGTGCCATTGGCGTACTAAATTATATGTTAAATATTTTCTTCAACAAAGATCATTTTGGTTAAATTACTTCCCATATTTTTTAATCTAGTTTAATACTGCAATATCTGAAATGTAATTTAATTTATAACTTTTAACAACCGGTTGTAGGAACGTTTATTAAAATATATTCGCTTAATAAACTTTGACAGATGTTTAGAGGTGTTTTTGATTCCACATTATTAGATTTCAAATGATTTTTATTTTGGCACAAATACGTATCAGTCAGGACTGAGATGTCCCATTTGTTTCTTGAATATTTTTCTCTAATATCCATAACTCGCACCATTTTTAAGAAAACTGCAGCATCCACCAAAATTTAAAGTTTTGTTAAATAACATTTTTATACTTAGAATAACATAAATAAACGAGAAATCTTAAAATATCTCCCTTTGGGGACATTTTCTATACAGATATGTTCACCACATGATTTTCTTGTCTAGTTTTTATAATCTTTTCCTGGTTATTTTGTACAAAGTATTGTTTCACCCCTGTAACCGTTTACATACATTTTCCACACACATTTTACTCGAAACATTTTTTTATATAATTTATTGCCAATGAAAATACTGAACAATTAAAATTTTATACTTTTTCTCAAATTTTTCCATTACGGTCCATTTTAGAGAAATCATGTATGGAACAAAAATTGTACAGAATGACATTACAAACAACTTTAATTTGAAAAATTTTCTTAAAACTTAAAATTTCTCGAATACGGGCCATTTTAGGAAAATTATGTGTATTGCAAGCAACTTTTATTTGAAAAATTTTCTTCTCTCATCGTAAATAATATATTCTATAAAATAAAAAAACAACCCTCTATTAAGTATCCCCAGATGTTCCGACTGTGCCCAAAATTTAATAAATTCACCACAAGATGGTTTAAAACTTAAATTTAAAGTTTATTGTTTTTCTCTTTATTAGTTTTTAAATTTTCTTCATAATTCTAAATTTTCACTCAAATATCTCGAATACGGTCCATTTTTGAAAAATTTTGTATAGAACAAAAATTAGAGAAAATAACATTGCAAATAACTTTTATTAGAAAAACAACTCAATTTTGATTTTTGAAAAAACATCTCAAACAAGTACAGATGTGACATATTTCGGTAACGTTCGGCTGTTTTATTGGGTCCATTTCAAGAACCGGCTTTGCATAAACGAAGTGGCCAGAGTCGGCTTGGTTTTGTCTTAAATTTATTTACAAATTTATATGAAGAAATAAATAATAAAATTGCGATTCCAGATTGATTTTTCTCTATAAAAATCTATAAAAATCTATAAAAATCTATAAAAATCTATAAAAATCTATAAAAATCTATAAAAATCTATAAAAATCTATAAAAATCTATAAAAATCTATAAAAATCTATAAAAATCTATAAAAATCTATAAAAATCTATAAAAATCTATAAAAATCTATAAAAATCTATAAAAATCTATAAAAATCTATAAAAATCTATAAAAATCTATAAAAATCTATAAAAATCTATAAAAATCTATAAAAATCTATAAAAATCTATAAAAATTTATAAAAATCTATAAAAATCTATAAAATCTATGAAAATCTATAAAAATTTATAAAAATCTATAAAATCTATGAAAATCTATAAAAATCTATGAAAATCTACAAAAATCTATAAAAATCTATGAAAATCTATAAAAATCTATGAAAATTTACAAAAATCTATAAAAATCTTTAAAAATCTATGAAAATCTAAAAGAAAATTATAATATTCTAGTCTCTACTGAATTTCCTTCAAATTTTCCACGAAAAAAAAACTTCACTTTCTTAATTTCGTAAGGGGAACTGTAGATTATATTATATTATTTCCAAAAATTGCACGTTCAAATTTTTTGGATCTAAATGTTAATATTTATTAAAAAAACCCATCAATATCTTGAAAAAAAAAATACTTTTGGGTATAGGGATCACAAAACAAAAAAAAAGATATTTATTTATGAATTGAAAATAACGTAATCTCGCGTTTAGGCACACCCTGTATAATCATCGCAAATTAATGAAAATAGAAAACATTTTACGAATTTTATGTCTATTAAAATTGTTCAACGATGTGGAAACAATCAAATCTGTTATCCAGATTGTTTTGTCTAAAAAAAGTTTAAGTTTAGTTCGCCCCTAATTTATGGACTATCCTGTATATTTAAGAATAATTTATAAAATATAATGGTACAACTTTTGTATTAAAAATGTCTGCATCTCCAATAACAAAACAACTCTACAGAGGGTGCGAACAAGATGATGAGACCATCGAGTATATCCTCTACGATTCCCCGACGTTCTCGTTTATTACCTCTTGGCGACGTTGTTAACTACATTAAATCTGTAGGCCGCCTTACGAGCTAGGAGGTGCTCAACTACTTAAGAGGATGCACAATAGGTCTAGTTAGGGCTAAGTGCCACTCTCCACAAGTTACAGATGCAGAACTGTCGAGCAATTAAACACTGATAGGACACCCTGTATGTGTATAATAGGCTGTATCGTTGGATAGGTAAATTCATACCATATTCAATGCTGAAATGATATACAGGGTGCTGCGTTTGAAAAACTCGAATAAATTGAATATGAAATGAGCCATATTTATAATATGTTTCAAAACACATTGGGGGGTGGGTGGCTAAGTGGTAGAGTCTGTGGATCCAAGGGTCCCAGGTTCGAATCCCACCGTTGGCCGGGATTTTTTTATTTAATTTAATTATTTAAAATTAATTCTGATGCCTTGGTAGGATTCCCCACTCGACCATTTAGTGTTGGGTTCTAATTAACAGTGCTTTTCCTGAAGTGGCGCTGGGAAACAGTAACAAAGCCTACACAGAACACACATGATTGAGAATTTAAAAACACAAACTTGAGATTGGCATATTAGGTATATGCACCTAGGCCATAAATCGAAAAAAAAAAAAAAACAGAAATCCTATGTTTCTGTTTCAGTGTGTGTAGGTGTATTCGAAATAACGATTTGGTTTAACACGATAACGATAAAGTAGGGAAACAAAAAGATGAATTTTTACAAAGTGTTAAAAATTACCAGTGGCGTTACAGTTAAGGATTAATAATTCCCTTTTGTGGTTAAATAATTGAGCAGATAAATAAAATAATTAATTAATATGAATTTATTCGAAGACTCCGCCCAGCCTGTCGCATCAACGCTTTTGTTTGACAAATATGATACACGTATCTATTCAGTTCAACTTTTTTTTGTTTTTCACCAGAATTGAATCCGGATTAACGATGTTCCGAATTTTTGACGTCCAAATTATCGACGCTCTACTGTATTTATTATACAAACTGTTACGCCTTTTCTAGTTTATACTGTTATGTGAGCCATTTCATTATTCAGTCATGCTCTAATCATCCAAGTCCCTCTGTGTCTTATTTAGCCTTTGAGGCTCAACTTGTCTGATATGTGACGACTATGGCGGAAGTGCTTTCGATTACTATTCGAGAAAGAACGGGATAATGTTTCTAGTGTATTCCAAATATAACGTGATAGTGTTTCTAATTTTTGGCGAGAACGTTCTGGAGCCTTCACCATAATTTTAAATTGGTATATAAATATTGGTGGAGAATATCATTGTATCAGTTATTATATGGACAGTGAAGATAAATTAAAAAAATTCGAAATATATAAATTAGAATATTAGTGTTATAAAATAAATAAGTGTTTAAATAAATTATTGATAAATAAACTGTCACAATACAAATAACAAAAATTATCCATTTTCATTTGCTTCTGAGATCGATATTGAATAAAGCTAATATCAAATTAGATCCACTCCCTCATTGGCAAAGTATGCAAATGTTTGCTTCTTGGTTTTTATCTAGTTCTTGTGTTGTCTCAAACTAATGATATTGTGTCACATATTGCCCTATTATCGGAAACTGTTCTATTTTACTGCTATTAGATATCCATCAAGGAGTTAGAAATTTTATTAATGGTGGTGACCTTAGTAGCAATTTTCGAACGTGACTATTATCGGAAAACATTTTTTAAGAAACTAAATATAATTTAATTTTAGTACTAGAAGTAGCCAAGTGTGAGTTAAAAAAAAATTCTTCTAATATTTCTTTATATTTTCAAATTTTCTACACTCGGCTTTTTATGAGTACAGTTCATCAAATTTCTAGAGGTGTTCGACGCCCAGACAGAGAACGCGCTACGTGCGACTAAGATAGCTATTGTACATTCTGCTAAACAAGTTATTTTAAATAGTTTTTAATATTTTTAGGTAATTAAATTTTAAAAGTGTGGAATAGTTTAGGGATTAAATTGGTCTGATTGGACTTTCTTAGAACGTTTTTAAAAGCAGCTAAAGATAGTATGTAGAATTGAAAATAATTATTATGCCATAAAAGGTTTTTTGGAATTCCTTCAACCTTTTGAAATTGAGTCAGAAAATATAAATTTTATAGGATAGCGGAAAATACCTA